AGCGCGAACAACATGTTGCGATACCGTCTGTAGTGTGAGTGGCACCTCAAAACTGGACGCATCAAAGAAGAGCAGAGACCAACGAACCAGCAGCAAACTCCGTGTCCGTGCTGTCGTAATCTGGCGTCGTGGCTGGAGTATGGAAAGTATTTGCCGCTTTGCTACTCCACCTTCCTCGGTCGGAAAAGCCCTCTGAATCTCTCGCCCAATGACAATCATGCCCCAGGCTGCATTTTCACTGTCGCGATGTATTAAGGATCCATCCGGAAAAAGGCGAATGGACTCCCAAATCGCAGCTCGCATGGGGCAAATCTGGACTGCAAGTCTCGCTTGTGGTGGGAGTGCCTCCAGACCAACCCTGGTATCTAGGCTAACCGCTGGTTGCTCCGAAATGATATCTCTCAGGGACTTGTGTTGGGGGTTGGGGCAAGTGACCTTATAGGCTGAACTAGTGTATGTAGGCGTGCTAGTACCACTCGTGCGCGGGTTGTCTAGATGAACTAGGTCCTCACAGCCGGTCTCCTCACGAGAGGGGGGGGGATGGGCAGTCCTCAGACCGCTTTCGGGCGCAACAAAACAGCACGGCCGAAATGTGGGCTGGGTGGCCAACCAGCCTTCCTTCCTCTTGAGCACGCGGGCAAACTGTAAGGTCGGGCGCACTCCTCGAATCGAAGGTGCTCAACAATGACCCTTTCGTGGCCGCTGTGGCATGATCTCCTCCGTCCTGCCTGTTCGCGGCAGGAACTCGTGCCTCACTGCTGGCCAATAGGGTGTTGGGGCTGAGCCCCGTGATCACTGCTGGCATGCACATACTGGCCGCACCTGGCTCGCCTGTGTGCAGGGCTTCGCTGCACGGAGGGCTGACTACACGGTGGTCACGCATCCTCTTAGGCGTGCTTGAGATGTTGGCTGTTTGGCCGCCGTGAGCACGTGCCCATAACCTCAAAATCGTTTCCTCTCCTCTCGCTTCCCCCCTGTCTTCCTCCTCCTCCTCCTCCCCCTCCTCCTCCACCTCCTCCTCCTCCCCCTCCTCCTCCTCCTCCTCCTCCTCCTCCTCCTCCTCCTCCTCCTCCTCCTCCTCCTCCTCCTCCCCGCCGTCCCCCTGGCCGTCTCGAGCGTGCCTCGAGGCCCCCGCACGCCGCGAACGGGCAGCAGGGGACGTGGAAGGGGGGAGAGGCGGCATCGGCACGAGGGCGAGGAGGAGGAGGAGGAGGAGGAGGGGGAGGAGGAGGAGGAGGAGGAGGAGGAGAAGGAGGAGGAGGAAGATGAAGAGGAGGAGGAGGAGGAATAGGAGGAGGAGGAGGAGGAGGAGGCGGAGGGGCAAAGGCGCTGTGCGACGATTCCCTGCGGCCCCGACGGCCGCCGCCGAAGGGGCAGCGAGGGGGGGGGAGGGGGGCGGAGGAGGAGCACGGAGAGGAAGTGCGGATTCGACGACGGGCCCATTGTGGCAGGCGCTCGGCCGCGAGAAGCCCTCCGCGAGAAACCATCCTTGCGAGTGAAAGTGGCACTGCTGTGTCGGCGCGGCGCATTATTCGGAGCTCGGCCGCGAGAAACCTTCCGCGAGAAACTATCCTTGCGAGTGAAGGTGGCGCTGCTGTGTCGGCGCGGCGCATCATTCGGTTTCGCCGCGCTGGTCGGGAGTGCTGCCGCTCCCGCCCCTGTGCGGCGCGCGTAGATAGTTCCCTTCGCCAAGGCATCGGAAACGGGACCGTGCGCGAGCGCCTTCCCTTCGCTACAGTATGAGTTCGACCACAAGAAACCTTCCACGAGAAACCCAACCCTGAGACCCGAGGGCGTCCATTGATGTTTGTTGTGGGAACGTCACGCTTCCCATAGCAAAAACATCGAAAACCAGGCAAACCAGGGCACCCTGGAGGCAAGCAGGGTGTTTCTTGGCATGTGTTCCATTGTGCTGTTCACCAGCCCTGGGCGGTCTTCGGCGGTCTTCCAACGTGTTTCTGGCGTTCTGGCGGTCTTCGGCTGTTTTCTGACGGTCTTCGGTGGTCGTCGATTTCCTGCAGTTTTCGGCGCGAAAGCTGACTAGTTGCGGCTGACGAAGGGTCCATGATCGAACACCTAAAGCACGGAGGGGAAGGAGATGGAGAGGAGGAGGACAAGGAGGAGGAAACGATTAGAAAACAACTCACCGAAATTGTTGGTCGTCACCACGGTGCCCAATAGCGCGCCCAACCGCGCGCAAAGCGGACATGATGCATCTCGCTCACATGGTGCTGTTAGGCGCTACTGGGCGCTATATACACGCTATTCGGCGCTACTGGGCGCTGTTGGGGGCTACTTGGCGCTGTTGAGCGCTGTTGGGCGCGATTCGCTGGTACACATTCAATGCAAAACGAGCAGTAGCTTCAGTGGTGTACTACCGCTACGAGGGAGAAGGAGGACGAGGAGGAGGACGAGAAAACCTAGACTGGTGAGGCTTCTCTGTCCCAGCGCGGCAGCTGTTCCAAGCCACGTCGGACCCGCCTCCGGTGGAAGAGAAGACCGCAATCTTGGACAGAGAACGCCCCCCAGAAATGCAGCGTCAGAAGAGGCACAGCAGGGGCAGCAGGGGGGGCCCTGACGTCATCTCGCTGTTAATGATCAAACAGCCTTGGCGGAAGGCCGTTGCTCTTGTTCTGCCTCCCGGGGCCCTCGCCGGGCTCTCAGACCGCAGCAGAGAAGACTCAGGGTGACAAATCGGCGCCGGGGCTGGAGCCCACAGGCCCGGGAGCCACGGCATGGCGACCTGTTGCGCCAGCGGTGAGGCAAGCACTGCGCCAGCGAACGGCCATCCGGGGCGACCGCAACGCGAACCGGCCGGCGTGCATGAGGGGGGGGAAAAATGGAGGGGGACGAGGCGGCCGCGGAGGACCCAATTCTATATCGGCACCCAAAAACATACAGTGGAGTCCCATGCCAAGAAACACCCTACTTGCCTCCAGGGTGCCCTGGGTTTCTTCGGTTTCGCTGGTTTTCCAAGGAACACGTGACGCTCCCACACCAAAAATCAATGGACGTCCTGGGGTCTCAGGGTTGGGTTTCTTGTGGAAGGTTTCTTGTGGTCGGGCCCCCACTGTGCAATCTTTCTGAGCCAGTGCATGGACTGACTCTCGGGATGCGGAGCAGCTGCAGAGGTGTCACGTACGTCGACAGCTTCTCAGTAGCATCGGGAGCCTCCGTGTGCCGGATCGAACACGATGAGGGGGAGGGCCCTCAGACGAAAAGGAGCCACGGCATGAAAAGGTGGGGGGAGGAGGAGGAGGAGGATGAGGAGGAAGAGGAGGAGGAGGAGGCGGAGGAGGAGGAGGAGGGGCAAGAGGAGGAGGAGGAGGGAGGAGGAGGAGGAGGAGGAGGACGGCACGGCGACGGCTTGTCGCGCCGATGCCGCTGCCCTTGCCTCGCGCTCACCCTTCTCGGGCCTCGGGGGCCCTCGTCGCCACGGCTGGGTCCGCCTCGAAGTCCTGGCCAGAACGCGCACCGGAGGGGGAGGAGGGGGA